TAAAAAAGGACACGTAACTAGAAAAACCGAATGAAAAAAGAATGTTAACAACAAATACTTTTTTACACCCAACCCAGTTCTGCGGAATCAGAATCAACATTGAGTTTAAGCAAGCAAATGAGCCAACTGGAGTAAAGTGCCATGCAGATTTAAATTTTTCCTACTTGTGACGAATACAGCTATCGATTTTTTTGCATGCTAGCATGCTAGTTAACATTCGTGTCAGACAGCTGTTGTCTCTCACACTGGCCAATAGAATCTTCCTGCCTTATTTGTGGCAGCCAGCTATAGGCTCTCATTCTGGCCAGTAGAAAATGGCCGCAAACTATATGAAAACTGCCGTAGAAGAATGAAAAAATCGATTATTTCCACTATTGATGGGAGTTGGGAAATGCAAAGTCAGTCTTAGCCATCCCACTAACTTGGAGGATGTGCATATAAATTTTGGTGCAAATCTGTCGAAAATTGCGGCCGTGCATTCGTTAAACACACACACACACACACATCCTGCTTTTTATAGATAGAGATACGCTCTATTCCTCATATTGATATTTTTTACTAATAAATATAACATACCTTCAAACTATATTTTTATCATATATATATATATATATATGTATGTATATATATATATATATACATATATATAATCAGTGTCTTTCCAATGCAAGGCAGTATAGTTACCAACAGGCAAGGGGTTACATGTTTTAGAGGAATTAAGAACAAAAATGTTAGTAATGAGCAGAAAAAGGAAAGAGCAATCAGGAGGACAGTAGATAGTGATTGACATTGCATTTAAATTTTTGCAGATTAAAAGCTGGAAGCATAGAGATGGAAGTGAGTTCCACAGGCGAGAGGTGTGAGAAATGAAACTATCAGTATAGAAGTCATGGCTAAATCTTGCTAGCTCAACTGTAAATTGATGATATATATATATATATATTTGCAAGTTTTATTAAAGACAACTGACAAGGTACTGCATTTAAGTCTTTTTTAATGAAGGATGGTTTTTATTTTTAATTGAATGTATAATAATAATTTAATATGTCTGTTTCTCGAGTAATAGGTATGATTTTTATTTTCCAAACACACCTGTGTTGATAGTTGATGTTATTGTGTTGGCTTTTTCTGTTTTTATTGATAATGCTTCTATTAGTTTTAACCTTTTTTTTAAATATTTTGTAACCCTTTTTTTACATGTACTTCAATTATTTTTAACCTTTTTTTTACAGTTTTTAACCCTTTTTTACATGTACTTTAATTATTTTTAACCTTTTTTTACAGTTTTTAACCCTTTTTTACACGTACTTTAATTATTTTTAACCTTTTTTTATATTTTTTAACTCTTTTTACATGTACTTCAATTATTTTTAGCCTTTTTTACATGGAACTATTATAATTATATTTTCTATGAGTATGTTGTGTATGGAGTTTGGTAAGTTTTCATGTGTGTTTAAATGAGTCCTAATTCATCTATGGTCAGAGAGTGTGTCTTCTTGATAGGATGTAGTGCTATATCCAATATAGTTATTCATAAATTTGAATTGATCAATAATATCAACTATGAACATGGCCACAATATGCTGACCGTGTTTGGAAAATAAAAAGTTTCAGTTCAGAGTAATACCTCCTATACTGGTTGACAACTAATTTATATTGCTTTTTAATACATAGCTGGTAGGTGTTTGTGAAAAAAATGAGTAAAACAGAT